GTCATGGGCGTGCAGTCGTCAGGATCCACGAGTGCCAAGTCCTTCACGTACAGGATCTCCACGATGTTGGACCTGCACGCCGTCGCACCGGCGACAATTACTCGCAAAATCGGTTAGCGTGAACATTTGCTTCATCCTGCATGCACCAACACTAACAATGGCTGGAAAATAATCAAATTCAGTTTTCTTCCCGCAATGTCCAGTAGTAATGCACAAATGAAGCTTCATGAAGCACTTGTGATATTTTTTTGACTCCTCTGGATGCCATTCTTTGTTTAAAGATGCAATGGAAATGTAATACGTTTTCATTGCACATGTTTTTTAAAGACAAGAGCACGATCTGGGGGGAAAAAAAAGAAAATTATCACAAGTGCTTCATGAAGCTTCATTTTCCGCTCTCTAGTTTAGTCTTGGATCATTTGTGGGTTTTTTTTTCTTTTAACATCAAAACTTCGTCAGATTAGTTTTTATTTCTTGTAATAATACAACTATGCACATTTTCAAGTTTTTGCTGTACATTTTGGAGTTGATTTTTGGAAATAGCATCTTTTTTTTTCATTGTAATTTTACAATTATAAGAATAAACCCCCTGTCTGGTTGTTGACAAATATTTCTGCCTGCTACACTCCTGAAATTTCATTTTGCTCATTCTAGTGTCAATTATTTTTGGGTTACGTTATGATAAAAAGTAAAATTGTATCAAATGAGCTTTGTCAGCAGGTGGCGCCAAATGACACGAGTGCACATGAGGAGCAGTCGGGTCTAAGTTGAAGTGTTAGCTCCCACCTCTCCTCTTCATAGATGGGCACACGCGTGTAGCCACTCTGCATGATGTCCGACATGGTGGAGAAATCCAGAAGGGTGGAGCTGGGCAGCATGAAACAGTCCTTGAGGGGCGTCAAGATATCCTCAACCGTCTTGCTGCGCAGCGTCCCACGGCTGAACTCCTCCTTCACAAACTCACTGCGACAAGACACACGCAGACGTGGCGTGACAATGCACAGCGCACGCAAGACTCATTCTTACATACGGCGGTGGGCGTGTCCATGAACGTGCCATTTTATTAAAAGACTACTCAGAATATATGTCACCGGGTACTACCGGTAGTTAGGCCCCAAGGATAGCATGAGTAGCCCACGGGTATGTTCTGAAAATAACTCACCAGTAATGGGACACTTTGACTTACAAACACGACGCACCTTTCTTCTGTACCAAATACTCAATATTTTTTCCATCCATCCAACCATTATGCAAGCCACGAGGGTCGCAGGGATTCTGGTACCTATCCCTGCCGTCTTTGGGCAGTATGCGGGGTACACCCTGAACTGGTCGTCAGCCAATCGCAGGGCACACATAGACAAACAACCATTCACACTCAGAATTACACCAAAGGACAATTTAGAGTGTTCAATCAGCCTGCCATGCATGATTTTGGAATGTGAGGAAAACGGAGTACCCAGAGAAAACCCACGCGGGCACGGGGGCACATGCAAACTCCACGCAGGAAGGCCGGAGCCTGGAATCTACCTCTGCGAGGCGGACGTGCTAACTAGTCGACCCCGTGCCACCTTTATATTTTGTTTACAAATAAAATGGGGAAAAATGTGCTATTTTTATTGACCCCAATATTAAAAGAAATAAATAAGTCACATTTTAAAAAACATTGCCGTTATCTGAGGCGGGCAGCCATACCTGTAGGGGTCGTTGACGCTGGTGCGGATCATCTCCATGGCTCGCTCGCGGATACAACAGGTGCTGATGTCGCGCCTCAGCGCCAGGTCCAGGACCAGACCCAGGGGGCAAGAGAGCGGGCAGGTGAGCACCATGCTCACCTGGGCCAGCCAGGTGAGGCCTGGAGCCAGCTGGAAGCCATAGCCGGAGCACACCACGTGAGGCAGCAGCTCGGCCAGGAAGAAGAGCATGAAGGCGGCGGCGAAGGCGGCCGACGCCACCGAGCCCAACGCCCGGAACAGCAGGACCCCCACGGCCGAGTGAGCCAGGACGCACAGGAAGAGGAGAGAGCACGCCTGCCACACACAACGTACGCCAAACCAAAACACACAAGTCATGGACCCACATGACTCACGTCACCAATTTTCGGACTTGGAGAGGCTCAGAACTATGTAGAACTGAATTGTGAAGATATAGGGCAACAGTTTGTCTCATTTCAGTTTTCCTCATATTTTGGGCGTTGCTACAAGGGGGCCCAGTGACACATTTTGAGCACCTTTGTGCTTTTGAGCAGTGATTCACAAACTTTATTGAGGCAAGGCACATTTTTTTAAGTTCGAAAAATCGCATGGCACACCTCCAAACAAAATTGTCACAAAGACAGAATACATTTGTCAACTTCACAATTTTTGCCATTGAATACAAGATCTTTTTTTTTCTTTCGGTCACTATAAATTGGTGGTATAGATAGATGGGCAACGACACATTATTTGCTATTAATAAATAATCCTCTCACCAATAAAATGAAATTTGATAAGTTCCGCTGGAGCTCTCACAGGACACTAATGTGGCCCGGCACACTGGTTGGGGGAATCACTGCTTGAGAGCACCTCGTCGTTACAGCGAGTGTTGGCGAGTTAACAAATGACAGAGCAGTGGTGCGAGTTGAAAAAGTTTCCAGACTTTGTTTTCTCATCCTTTGAATTTGTGGAGAGGGCGGCTTAATTTTTTACAATTTTTAAGCTTCATTCCATTTACTTTGTGCTGGCACAAGGTTTCTGGGGCAGAATTAGTCCTTGTAGGTCTTGCGCAATTCACAGCAAATATTATGATGATGATGATGGTTATTATTATTGTTATTATTATTATTACCATAAAGTTCCCTCTTCTCCTGACGGGCTCCAGACGCTTGGCGGCGCGCTTCTCCTCCTCGGACCCGCAGCTGTGGAGCACGTAAAGCTCGACCGGGTCGAGCCACAGCAGGCTGAGCTGAACCGTCCTCAGCAGCCCGCAGACGAGCACCAGCATCGGCACCAGCACCGCCAGGCCCCACGCCGGGATGTGCTCAGCGGGCAAAGGCTCGTCCGAGCTGACGCGCAGCCTGTCCTCGCTCACCGAGGTCCACTTGCCCCCGCTCTTCATGCACACGTGATGGAGGTTCTGATGGAGGTCCCGCTGCTCGCCGCCGCCCCCCAGCTGGACCTCCACTGTCAGCAGTCCGCTGCAATCCTCTTCGGCCGCAAATGGCTCCTTCACCAGGAAGGCGGCCTGCCGCCGTCTGTCTTCGTCCTCGCATGGGTCCCCGAGCGCCCCCTCGGGCGCGAAGGCCAGCCACGGCCAGGTCTGGTTACTCCGGTCGGGGCCGAAGAGCCGCAGCTTGAACGAAGCTCCCCGGGGCGCCGAGATTATCCCTCCTTTCATACACACACGGCCCGCGGGGTCTTCAGGGCGCAGGCGCACGACGGGCGGCGTCGCCTGGCCGCACAAGCCCAACCGGATCCCGCACGACAACAATACCATCAACAATATCATCAACAGCAAACGTAGACCTGCCAAGCTGGCCACCATATTGGAATTGGTCAGCCTGGCTCCGGGGCGGGTCATGTGACTCTACTCCGCGCCAGGCCCCGCCCACTCGGAACCTTGCGCCGTTCAAATCGTGGGACAAACAATAAGACAAACATCTAAAATCGAATAACTAACATTTGAAGCAACGTACGTTGTACATACATCGAAGATACAATTAAAACACCTCCATTGAGTAAACCGCATCCAACCGATGAGAATAATGCTCATTTGTGGGCAGGATACGTTTTACTTTATGATAGGTACGTAATACGAAGTACCACGCCGTATCTTCTGACATTTATGTTAAACACATTCCCACTTAAAGCATATAACCCTCACTGAATAACTAACTATAATCAATGAGTAATAAATGCGACTAAACAACTCGAAACTCAAACTTACTGGCGCGTAATGCATCACAAGGTCGCCATCGTGGGGTTTGGGAAACTGCGCGCTTCGGCGGCCATTTTGGCTTCGCTTACACAAGGCTGATCTGATGAGCGGACAATTTGGCACCGGGTTGTTTGTTTTCATCTCCAAGGGCGCGTGGCGCATTACAATCATGGGAAAGACGAGGACTTAACGTGTTGAAAACACGCCAATGAGTCAACGGACTTGGACCATACATCGAAAATACAATTAAAACACTTTCATCGAGTCGTTCACATAATGCCTATTTGTGATCACATTTAGTATTGATTTGAAAGAACACGTGTACTAAGCAGCAGCACGTCTCGTAAGCCGACATCCATCCGTTAAAAAAATCAGTTTATCCTTACAAGGGTTGAAGGTGTGCTGGAGCCTACCACAGATGTCTTCAGGCTGTAGCCGGGGGACACTGAACTGGTTGCCAACCAATCGCAGGCCACACAGACAAACAACCATTCGTGGTCACAATCACACCTTGGGATAATTTTGAGTGCCCGATCAATTTGCCATGCATGTTCTTGGAATGTGTGCGAGTAACCGAAGTACCCTGAGAAAACTCATGCAGGCACGTGGTGAACATGCGAACTCCACATAGGAAGGCCGGAGCCCTGCATCTCTGCACGGTGAGCCCGACGTGCTAACCAGTCGATCACCGTGCCGCGTAAACCGATATATAAATTAAATATTGTCTGTAATCGGATTTTAAAAGATAACGTGGATGACAGAACACAATAAGTAATAAATACGACTCAACGATTAAAACACAAATCTTTCTGGTAGGCATTGAACTTAATAAGAGCGAGCCAACATGGCGTTCATGAAACTGCGCGAACATTGGCAGCCACGTTGGCTCTGTTCGAACGTGCCAAAGACATTGACTTTACTGCCAACAGTCTATTGTGTTTATTTGGTAGTATTTCTCCTGCTTCCAAAATGTGTATATACACCACATAGTGTAGTTTCATATTAGTTTAAATGCAGATGAGACACAAGGTTGGGGGAGGAACTTCCGTTTGCTAAGAGTTCAGATGAATGAGCCCACATCACAGGTGTTGTGTAGAGAAATAGAAGTCATGTTTATTCATGAACCTGTGACAGATTCTTCTGATGCCTTTTATAAAACAGGACAGCAAATGTACACATTGCACGCACTCCCGGCCATGAAACATTGCATAAGACACGCTAAATATTCACCAGCAAAGTCAAATGTGTTAATAAGTGTCTTTCGAAAAGACCTTTGCATCCAAAACTTGACTTAACTGCACTGTCCAACACAGAGTATTCCATTGGTCTAATTATCATTGTGAATTTGTCAATATTACAAGAAAGTGATGCACAAGGAAGGATGGTGATGTCTATGGAAACCCGTTGGAACATTTATTCCATATCCTTGCTATCCATCTTAAGGTCCACAAAATACTTAACTCTTTGTCCTCACAAGTAGCAACTTTGGCATCCTAGTCGCGAGGGAAACGTGCAATCGTTGAAAACAGCGTGCTACTAGTGAAGCGCTAGATCCAATAAGATACTAGTGCCTACTAGTGTTACTGCTGCAGCACAGCAGTAGTTATATTGCATAACAGTAGACCAAAAGTTACTAGTCAGACACAGTCATTCTGAATTCTTACTAATGAGGACAAAGAGTTTACAGGTTGTTCAACTGGAGTGCTCCCACCATAGCCGCCAAAACGTGCACAAGGAAAGAAGGATCAAGCAAGAAGTTGAATATTTGTGAGGAGAAGGACCGTGAGGAAGACGGCGGAGGAAATCAAAACTTTGGTTGTCAAAATGCTACATAGGATGAGTGGGGAGTATGAGGTCAAAGCTTGTGTGCTATTTATTGCTCAGAGAACATCCCATAATAATCTGGCATAAAGGTTGATTCTATACAGTGAACCCCCACTATATCGCAGATTTTTGAAGTATTTTTTTTAATGGCTTTTGGGGATATACAGGCAAGTCCCAGTTAAGAGCTATGAAACTTTTGTGTAGTACCACATTGTGCCAGAAGATGTCGGGCAGCACTGAGCTCAACTGGAAGACAACCAGCATCATTAACAACAAGAAGAAGACACAGGAAGTAAACTAAACCTGAGCTTCACTACTAGTTATTACTGTTTGGATGTATCGCTGCTCCGTGTGTGTGTGTGTGAAGTAGCAGTTGTTCAAAGATTTACAATTCCGTAACTTTGTTGTTCATTTCATTTTCCCCTTATGTGTGAGTTCAGCATATGGCTAACATTAAGCTAGCAAACTTTCATTTGATGAAATAGTTTGGTTGAACATTTTGGTATCACAATAAACAACCTTGAATTTATTATTTTTTTTGCCTATCAGTTTGTATGGGCTCCTGCTCCGTGTGCATTAAACTCGCAGTTGTTTGATGGTTTGGAAGTAGCATAACATCAACATGGTGATTATTATATGTTAGCATTAAGCTGGCAGACAATCATTATGTCTTGATTGAAGATTTGGGTATTTCGATATACAGTACAATGATTGATTTTTTTTTTTTTTTGTTATGTGAGAATTATAAAAAGGTAACTTCAAGTGGGAGTGGCAAATAAGCAGTTTGAAGCAAGCACGCTTGGCTTTTCATTTGGATTTTCACCAGGTATGTCTTCCCCACGATAAACGGGGGTTCACTGTATAGCACATCTTTTCTATACATACGTATATATATATTTGAGTATCATCTGCTCAGATATTTACACAAAAAATAATTTGATTCAGTGCAAACTAACCAAGAATAAATAGAGGACACTAATGTCGCTAAAGTATCTTTCTTTCTTTTGTTTTTTTTTTTACATTGCACAGTAGCCAACCTGCAAAACCGACACACATGGACCCACAGGCGGCTTCGTTCCGCCACGTACGGTAAAAGGCTACGAGTGCTTCCCAGGTCCCGCCCAACGAAAGCCAACAAGAGTAGCAAAGACGACGCTTATTTCCCGAACAGTACAAGAAGAATATTGTGCTTTCATGGTGCTGTGATGTGTTCAAGTACCGTTGTAAAACAACATTCCCACTGACGGATCAAAACATGCTACATGCTGCGGATGGAAAGCGTAGACTTGTGCTTCCCAACCACTGTGCCAATTTCACAGAATTAGTTGGAAGTGATTATTTATTTGGAACCAATTATTTCTCTTCGTTGAACGACGTGAAGCGACGGGTAAAACTAAGCTCCAGATGTTACTTATTTACAGTGTGGACACGCATAATTCCCACTAACCCGGCAATCTTCTAGTTGAAAAAAACGTAAGACTGGTCTTAGGCCTCACAAGTGTAAAGTGCTAGCTTATGTATTTTTTTCCATTTTAAATAAATATTTTTCCCTTTACAACATCATAGTTTCATAAATAAGATTACATGCTAGAAGTGTTAGCATCTGTTAGCTGATTTGCATTCTTTCCAGTGTCGCTATGAATGTGCGAGTGAGTGTATATGTAAATGAATCTACCCGAATGACAGTTTAGCTTAGCATTGAGGCTAAAGGTTGATACGGCATGCGATGGTATGTTTGTCCATTAGTCTTTGTGTGTAAACGTGCTGAATTCCTAACTTCCACAGTTAATAAATACACAGAAACTGTCTCAAAAGACATAGCCACAAGTTAAACATGAAGCCACGGCTGACATTAGCCGTTTAGCTTAGCATGCTAACTTCGCCAACAAGTTGACATTTGGTCAGAGAAACTAGAGGTACCCTAGTACTGGTCTCATGTCAATCGCGGGGCACATATAGGATATAGACAAACGACATTGACAATTTATAATAATTTAAAATCTTCAAAGAAGCTAATATGTTTCTGGAATGAGGGATTCAATTCCCTACTGGTAGAACACGCTTTGATTGGAACCCTTGAACCTCAGCACAATGAGGTGGATGCCCTAACCACTCGTACACCGCCCAACCTGCTAACCTTAGCATTAAAGAAAAATTCCCTTTTAGTGGCTGCACACATATGTGTGCCCATAATGGCGTATGTGACGTTACATTTTCAATGACCACGATGCTCAGCAACGCTGAGCTAGATGCTGCGTCACATTTAAAGGCTAGCAAAACATAATGCTAACTCGCCATCCTACGATCACTTTTGTATGGAAAAAAAAAATGAGGTCAAATATGCTTAAAGTGAGCTTGTGACTCAGCAACATCGACAACCACCTTTTGTTGAAATACGGTGACATCAGTTTTTCAGATCACAGTGATGGAGGAGCTAACGATGCTAACAAGATAGCAGCCGGGCCATCAACCTCACGCCCAATATAAAACAAAGATCACCGGAGTCCTAAATAAATACATAAATAAATAAATAACTATCCAATAAATATTATATAAACACCTTTTGTCAGAATAATGCCCCAAAAGTCAAGTGTCCCGAACCCTGACTTTTCCTGAACACAGCTGCTGTTTCACCCCTGCTCTTCTTCTCCGCAACAATCTCAGAATCAATCAAAATCATGGCAAAGCGCATCAGTACCTTCCTCCCAGGCTAGTGGCACCGGAAAAAGTAGCCCGCTTACATGGGCAATGTGAAAGGGGTCAGTGGGGCCTTCATTCAACTCGGTTACCTGGAAGCTGGGGAGTTCTTTGTTGTTGCTTTTCACAATGAACATCTAACACAAGGAAAGTATGAAAAAAGCCATTTTCGGTGTCAGCGTGAAAGGGGGTTAGTGGGTTATTATTCCTCTCTGTTACAACTCAGATATCGCCTGTGAAGCCAGTTCGACTTTCACATCCACTGTACCGTGTTGATGTCTTTCACACAGAACAGCGACAGGAAAAAGACACATTAGGTGGGCGGTGTGAAAGGGGCTGGATGGTTCTCACCACCCCACCCTTTGTGACATCCAATATTACTTCTGAAGCCAGAAAATTTGTGGGGCAACGTTGACACGGCCTTTCTGTTTTGGTGCCTCTCAGACAGGAAGAAGTGGAAAAAAAAAAAAAAAAACAGATTCGATGGATAGTGTGAAAGGGTCTACTGGGTCATTGTTCATTAACGATTATTACCTCTGGTAAAGTCATGGGTCGACTTCGGGACACCTGGTCCATGTTGGTGGTTTTCTCACAGAAAAGCACCGTTGGTGAAACGCCAAGGAAAAAGTAGATGAGAAAGTGGTAATTGGGTCATTATTTATCAATGGTGACATGCAGATCCTTCGCATTCTTCTTGGGTCGCGTCACGGGGGAACAGGAAGTGATGCGTGTCAAATGGTACTCTCGGTATGCGCGTGCGGGTGCGTGAGGGGCTGGCCGGGCCGCCGGGGGTCCGCGCAGTTACGCTGCTCGCCCAGCAGCGTGGCGGTCTCGCCCGGGATGCCCTCCACGTCCCCGGGCGGCGTTGTTTGGCGCAGACCGCCGCCCTGCGCCGGGACGACCTGGTTGCTTGGAGGTGCCGACTGGCTTGGGCGCTGCGCCAAGGCGCCGGCGGCAGTGCCGCTGGGGGGCGGCTGAGCGGTGCGGCTGGGCTGAGCGTTGGACGGTAGACGCTTGATGGGCGGCGTGGCGAGAGGCAACAGGGGGCGCCCGCCCGACGGCGTGGCGGGAGGCACCGCCGTGTCCAGACGCTGTAGACTTCCCTCGGGGGACTGCGGTGTGCTGTCCAGACGCGACGCCAGCACGCCGTTCTGGTACTGCGCTCGCGTGATCTGAGAACCATAAACACCAAATTCACTTGACATGCACCCGTTGTGTCCGTCTTTGATCTTGAAGCATTCTACCTTGACAAACTGCAGGTCGCTGAGCGCTCGTACGCAGAAATCCGGCACGTACTGGAAAGGAGTTCCCGCGATTTGACTGTTGCTGCCGCCTATGGAGCCGCTCTCCGCAGCGCCGCCGCGCTCGCTACAGCTGATGGACGCCGAGCGGTTCAGGTTGCCCCCGTGCGACGGAGAGCGGAACTCTGGGATTGGACGGCAAGGGTGTGCGTCAACGTCGTCGTAATTTACACACGCGCAGATAAACAGCACGTTACTTGAATGCAAAACACAAAGGTGGGGGGGTGAACGACAAACATGCCGCCGCGCATTGTTTGGCGCAGGACTCTCATTGGCTGAGGTCTGCGATGTCATCAGTGATGTCATGGAGGGAATCAGGGGTGGGTGGGAGTTTACTTGATGGCAAGGTGAATGCGGGGGGGGGGCAGCAGTAATGCAGGGAAACGTAAAGGAAAGGACAGATGTTAGCATGCTTAGCTTACTTAGCGCGGGAGAAGAAAATCGTACGTGCGTCGCTGCCTTTGACGTTTGAAGCTACGTGACGAAGCGAGCTGTGACTATACACGCCTTTGTAGTGACAGTCTTTGATGTTTCGACATATTAAAAAGGGACTTGCGCCTGCGCCTCTTTACTCACATCAGTCGTGTGTGTGCATCTGCACCGACGTCTCCTCTTTCAGTTATTTTTGGTGTTGTGACTGTCTTTGATGTTTCAAGGATTTGTGCCTCTCTACGCGCCCGCCGTTGTCCGTCTTTGATCATGTTTAACATCTCTGCGCGCCCCATGTCTGTTGCAGAACGATGCATGAAGAAGCTGCGGGTCTTTTCGGCGGCCGTCGTGTCTCTGTCGTTGATGTTTAACATCATGTTGCAAAGCGGGTTGTAAATGTTTGATTTTAACGTGATGATTTATTTCTTCAGCCGGAGACAGTGTACGTTGATGAATATTTAAATGATTAAAAAAAAAATGTAAATGAACGATTATTACAATCACAAGGCTGATTTCCGTCGTTTGCCGTTCAAAAGCGTGCGCCTTAAGAGTGTCTCCGATGTCGAAGAGCAGTGCATCGCTTGGTTGTTAGCACTGCTTTTAGCATTAGCATTCCTGGGCCAGGAATAACTTGGAATGTTGAGCTCATTTTGGACAAGGCGTGGGGGGGGGGGGGGGGATTTATCACCACGGAAACAGATGCTGGAAGCTGCTGAGTTGTTTCGAATGTTTTCCTTGTTAACTCTCAGCTGCCCCCTGGTGAACAAACTGAGCGCCGCAGCTGTTCCCACTTGAGGATTAAACCACTTTGACTTTGCTCTTCAATGTCGCCGTTGAGGTCAAACGCTAACGGCGAGCGGTTTGCTGAGCGAAAGGCTGAGGCGACGATGATGATGATGACGGCGGTGATGAAGACGAGGGTGAAGGATGAGCGATCCACCCCCCCCACCCCCCTCATCCACCCCCACCATGTTTACCTGGGAAACGAGAGAACACGGAAAACCTCTTAAGAGAGAGGCGCCTCGGAGGGGGGGACGCCACCGACGGGGACAGAGGGGGGGTCACGGCTGGGAGGAGGAGAGGCCGGGGGCGGGGCCGGGGTTGGTGGTAGGAGAAAGATAAGAGAGGATTTATTTGTTGTTTGATTGTTTGTTTGGACAGCAGACTCCAACGGGGGAGCCTCACGAGACACTTGATTCGGCACAACAGCTCATCGCAATCCCGTCTTTAATCAAAGTGCTTCGCCACCTTTGAACTATCTATTTTCAGCGGCGGATTAAGACGAGCGCTCCGGTTGACGTTGGACATGTCGGATGAGCGCGTCAACGCACACACACACACACACACCCACACACACCCGTAACGTTACATAATCACACACTTAGCTTCAAAAATACGAAATGGCTTCCTTCTTTAGAAGAAACCGTTCCGTGAAATCAGCGAACAGATGGAAACATACATCACAATAAATGTGTTTCTTTGTGTGTGTGTGTGTGTGTGTGTGTGCAGGCTCACCCAGTGATGGCGTGCTGAGCGCCATGACGCCGTAGTAGGAGAAGGGGCCCGTCTCAAACTTCATATTCTCGTTTCCCGCCTCCACCTCAACTCGACCCTGAAATACACACGTGTGAGCACACAATCACGCATGTATGCACGGACACACACACACACACACACACGCACGGACACACACGCACACACACTCAAGTGTGACAGCATCTGTGTATGTGTGTTCTGGTGTTCTCCAGTGACATCCACACGATTAATATTGTACCAGAGGCTGTGGTGTGACCTTACTGAAAGCTAATCCGAGCCGGTTTCTGTTCATGTAGCGGTTTTACATACCTGTAGAATAAGCACAAAGTAGTCCACAGCCTTGCCACGCTGGTAGAGGAAGTGCTGCGGGGCGCGTTTGTCGTTGTCGTCGAATTTCAGCTCCTGCACGACGTCGGGATGCCTCAAGATCCTCAGCAGGACCTTCTCGGTGACATGGAAGCCACCGAACAGGCTCACCTCTAAGAGGCGCAACAGAAGAACACCTCGTAGCTCACAAGTCCATTTACACGATGAACAATTTTGTCAGACAAAGGTTTGCTGCCAAAACGGGTTGCTATGAAACATCTAGAAGTGCGTTAGTATGATAAAGTATAAGTACCAAAGGGTGCAGTAATTTAGAGTACTACCATGTGGTTAAACATTGTAGGCAGCAAGTAATAAAGGCTGCAGTTAATCAAGGCCCAAAATTTTGCTGCCTAAACGGGCTGCTGGAGGACCTGAAACAGGAAAAGAGCAAAGTATGCTCACAAAGTTATGTCGTAGCGTCACTGTCCTGAAACAAAGTAGCCCGAAACCCGCAAATGTTGCAGCTAATCACAGCCAGAAGGTTGCCGCCTAAATGGGCTGCTGTGAAATCAAAGGAGGAAGGCACAAATGATGTCAACAAAACTTTGTAGTGTAGTCACTGTATAAAACCACTGTAGCCAGTAACAAGCAGAGGGTGAAATTAATATGATCAAAAAGTTTGCCGCCTAAACAGGCTGCCGTGGTAGTGAAACATTAAGAGATTAAGTTATTTACTGTAGTACTATGTGTTCCCAAAAGTTGTGTCGTGTAGTCGCTATATGATGAAGGGTGCAACTCACATCAGGAAAACGTTTGCCGCCTAAAGGGGCTGCTGTGAAAGTCGAACAGGGTGTGAAGCAGGAAGCGCCCACCTGTGGCCAGGAAGCGATGCGCGGCCAGCATGAGCTGCGGCGAGATCTTTGTCTTGGCGTCGCCGTCATGCTTGAACGCCGAGAAGTCTCGTTTGTTCTTGTTGGCGTCCACTCGCTTCTTGTTGCGGTTGTCAGCTGCAGGAGGGACAAACGGAAACGGTGTCACAACCAAACCCGTCACGGAACCTCATCTAACTTTAGGAAATCTGATCAAACATGGTACACTAATCCCAAAGCCAATCTGGCGACCAAGTAAAGCTGCTTTTGGCTTCTATATTTGCCCGGCGGGAAATTGTGACTCACTGTAGCGGTCCGACTCGTCTAGGATTTCCGACTTGATGATTTCCTCGATGACGTCCTCCAGGGTGACCAATCCCAGGACCTCGTAGAAGGGGTCGCCCTCGCCCTCGTTGTTCACCTTCTGCACTATGGCCAGGTGGGATTTACCTGACGAGACCACGTGACAACCGCTTTGTTCAAATCGACTGAAGTGGACGCCATGGAAATTTGGGGGTCGGATGTTGCTGCCTAAATGGGCTGCGGCAGCAAGCGATTAATGTACACTATATACTACATATTAAAAATTGTGACGTCCAGACAGATTATCCCAGTTGACAATGTGAGGGCAGAAAAGGGACAAACAACAGACGGGTCGATGATGTGGTCGATCGATCCAAACAGAGCAACGCCCCAGGGGACGCACAACACAGCTTCCTGTGCAAAGGTCAAGATGGGGTCAAAAGACACACACACACACACACACACACACGCACACACACGCACACAGCCAGTCAGGCATTCGGAAGGTGCGAGCGACCTTTCTTGAACTCCTCCAGCATGGTGTCGAGTTTGGTGTCGTGGAAGACGAAGTGAACGGGATGGTTGTAGAACTTGGTGACGGTCTTGAGCGTGGTGCAGTCGTCCGGGTCGACGAAGGCCAGGTCCTTGACGTAGAGGATGTCCACGATGTTGCAGCGCTCGTCGTCGTAGACGGGGATGCGCGTGTAGCCGCTCTCCATGATCTCGGACATGGTGTCGAAGTCCAGCACGGCGTCCGCCTGCCGCGCCAACGCCAATTGAGCGCTTTGGTTTATTGCTACATATGGCAAATTCCATGGCAACATATTTAGCTATCTTTCCCGTTCCCTGATTCGGGAGTCGGGAATCCATTTGCAACTTCCAGATCACTTGTTGGCAATTTTTTAAAAAATTTTTTGCTTCAGGCTTTTCAGGAACTATCAAGATCCACAATTTGAAAAGTAGCATTAAAAAAAGTTAAATACAACTGAACTATTCTGACAGTACGTTCAAACAGGATGCAAATTGAGTAGGCCAAAAGTGAGACTAGTGTTGGACAAATGTAAGTTTAAGATGGCTGTTCAACTCGTGCATGGAAGTGTTTTATAAATGAAGACAAAAAGGGTACTAGTACACGTAGCTTAAGGAAAATATCAAACCAATTCCCAAATGGCTTTTCATAGCATATCATTTCGAGGGCCGGATCAATTACGACGCAATGAGTTTTGTGTTGTCGTTTCACATACAAATGAAGGAACTTAGCACGGGAAATTAATCATTTTTTTCCCCCACACTGCCCATAATATCGTCTGATGAATCAATCGGGCCCTTGCAACTTTTAGCAACCCGTCCCGACGAAGCAGCGAACACACACCTGGATCATAAAGCAGTCGGCCAGCGGCGTCAAGACATCCTCCACCGTCTTGGTGCGCAGCTCCAGCGCCCCCTGGATCATGTTAAGCTCCTCCTTGACCAAATCGTTGTAGGGCTCGGTCACCTTGAGCATCTCCACCAGCTTCTCGCGGTTGTACACGGTGCCGATCTCCTGGCCCAGAAGCACATCCAGCAGCTTGCTGACGGGGAAGCTGAGCGGGAAGGTGAGCAGCATGAAGAACTTTGTCACGGCGATGGTGTTGGCGCCCACCGCCAACCCGTGGCGCGAGCACAGCGCCTGCGGCACGATCTCGCCGAAGATGACGATGCCCACGGTGGAGGCCACCACGGCGCCCAGGCCCGAGCCGATTAAGTCGTCCAGCAGGATGGTGAGCGTGGTGTTGACCAGCACGTTGCCCAGCAGCAGCGAGCACAGCAGGTAGTTGCCCTTGCTGCGGATGGGCTCGATCTTGCGCGCGTATTTCTTCTCCTTTTCCGTGCCGCAGCTCTGCACGATGCGCAGCTCCATGGGGTCCAGCGCCATCAGGCCCAGGTTGAGACCGCTGAACATGCCCGACAACACCAGCAGGCACGAGATCAGGATCACCTGTCGAATACGAAAACTATTCATTCACTATTTCTCAAAGGTCGCTGAGGGAAAAACAAAATGTTTATATTTTTCCTTGGGCATCGTAGCTTTCCATTAAAATAATGCTCAATTCCCAGGAAATGGCTTTTAAAAATGGTAGTTTGTCATTTCTCCCCCAAAATACATCTATTGGCTAGATGGGTGGGAAAACACCCTAGCAACAAAACACAGTTCACAATAATTGGTCAAATGTAAAATGAGTGGAAATATTTGTATGTCGTTACTTCAAATCACTGCCTGCATCGGAGCCTGCCAGAATGCTGTAATGTTTATTGTTTTATTTTATTTTTTCTCAAACCAGATTCAAGATCTGATCATGTTTGGGGGGACTCTTGGACCGTCACTGACCTGCAGCCACAGAGGCAGCAGCGATTTCTTCTCCTCCACGACCAGCAGGTGCCCGTCGTGGTCGCCCAGCAGCCGCCAACGTCCGCCGCGGCGGTGGTCGCCAACGTCGTCGTCGTCCTCCCGGTCGTCGATGCGCGTGCACAGCGCGTACTCGCTGCTTGGCTCGCTCTTGCGCAGCGGCTTGACGTGCACGCGCAGCAGCCCCGACGTCCCCCGGCCGCTCACGTTCATGAAGGTCCCGACCGCGATGTCCTTCGTGAAATCTGAGCAGATACCGCTGTCACCTGCATCCTCCTCCCCGCCCGCGGAAAGCTCCGTGAAGCGAATGAGCGTCCAGGCGCCGGGGTGCAGCCTCAGGCCGTAAAAGCGGAGCTGCACAGTGCTGTCCTCGGTCACCTGCAGGACGCCGTCGTCACCGGTGCTGGCCGGCTTGTCGCTCGTCTCCAGCCGCATCCCGAGCACCTGCGTGCCGCCACCTCCACCGCCGCCGCCTCCTCCTCCCCCGCCGTCGCCGGCTCGCCCCCCGCCGGCCGCCGCCTCCGAGCGAGCTCCGTCCGCGCTGCACAGGAAGAGGAGGACAGTGACGATGTAACCCTGCTGGCCTCTCCATTCTCTCGCCATGTTTGTTTGACTGGCCGCTAGACGTCGGTGACGTCATTTACGCGAGTCCCACAGGCCACGCCTCCCACCCGCCCAGGTGATCCAGCGAGGCCTGGCGCATTCATATGGACATACATAACACATTTAAAGATATTCAGGACGTCCACGTGTAGTGTGTGGCGGAGGCTACCGAGCACTTCGAGGTCTCGTGACCGACACTTATATAAGAAAAGAAGGATATAGTCTGGTTATCTTTTTCGAACCTTAAATGTATTCTTAATACGCAATATTCATCCACGATGAAAAAAAACACCAGCAGTTAACTGTCGCCGGTAATCCTGTTTAAATCTGTTCTGACATGATGTACTGTATTAAAAAACTCGCGTTCAAACTGTTGTAATTATCTAACTACATTGTCTTATGATACTTTGTCCAAATATTGCGCTTGTCTGTATTTTATATACGTTCTATAGAACAAAATTAAAATTTTCAAATCACTCAAAGCTGTGTTCTATACTGGTTCTGAAACGGGTGTACTTTTTTGATTGTATTTCTTTTGTTTTGTGTACGTCGCATTGCAGTTTGTTGATATATTTGTATTTGCCATGTTTTACTCTATTGTATGCAACTAGGTCGACGTTGCAAAACCTGGATAAATAAAGGTGAAAGGTTTAATATAAATGGATCTATTTAAACGTGGAAGAGGACCAACCAGTAAGTTGCGCTAGCGGCGCAGTGCATTGTGGGATAAATGAGTGTCCTGCGACTGGATCGTTGATGATGTCCACTTCCGGCTGTCGTGACGTAAGTAGAAGTTGTAAACAAGACACTGCGTCACCCTCCCTTGCTCGGAAGCTCGACAGCTGTTATGTAAAGTCACGTGCCCCCCCCCCCTCCGCCAAAATACGCGGCGTGCAATATGTTCAAATGTATGACATTTGATAATACATTACGTCACACACACACTCTTGAGTTGGCGCGGTTGCGCCAAAATCAGCTCTTACGTAATCGTGTGATGCGTGTGGCCTTGCCGCTAGCGCCCTCTTCGGGCTCGTTTCGATCACTACCATGCAAGGGGGATCTTCAATTTTTTTTTTTCTCACTTAAACTTTTCTTCACTTTCAATGCCCAAATTTACCGTACCATGTCCCAAATTATATGTCATTATTTGTAATGTTTTTTTCCTTCAATTGCTGATTCCATTTTGGGAAGTGTTGGATTTTCTCTTGCATGATTGCAGGCAGCAAAATAGGTGTTATTTCTTATTTATGTATGTATACATTTGTGAAAGTGTCTGAAGTTGAGCATGTGTCTGCTGTTATTAGGAATGTATGAATACAAGAGTGCAACGGTTTGGATCATTTACCCAAATTGCTTGAATAAAATTTTGTGTCTTCAGTGTATTCAGTTAAGAAGAAAAAAAAACATGTTAGGATACTTTATCTTTCTGTCCATTTATTGTTTGTGCTCTTATTTTTGATGTCAACTTGTTGTGATAAAAATTCCCGATTGACAGGCGAGAGCAACTCAATTATGTGCAATGTAGACACAACTGCTGCATAAATTAAACAGAGCAGTCGTTGACAATTTTGCGGCATCGCCGTCAGCGTCCTAACCAAATGTACGCTTGGAGGCCATGCCATTAGGCACACCCGCGAGCTCAGGTGTCCCTAACAAAGCACGCGACAGGCAACATTCCCAGCGTCACAATCAATGAAAGTCAGGTGAATGCAAACGTTCCGCGGCGTGTCCCTGCGGTAGGGTCCTCGTCATTGGTCGTCACGGCGACGGAGGAAGCACCTCCACCGTGTAGCTGACCCGCTTGGAGTGCAGCACGCTGTAGCTGTTGTCGAAACACAAAACGTCTGCACGCACGCAAAGCAGACACAGCACTGAATCACATTCAACGAATGACCTGTTTTTGCATTTTTTTAAATACTTTTTTTTTGTGAAAGTGAAACTAACAGGATGCTTAGGGTGCAGTGTATGCTAACGCAAAAATATATAACATTGAAAACACGCACATCAGACACAAATTTTGCATGCGTGGTGCACTCACACACTCCCGGTTCGGGGCAGGTGATCATATTGTCCTCGGGCACCAGGTGCGCATTGTAACGTTGGCTGGGGACCACCTGCAACATGTCCGCCATCTTCTGCTGGTCACCCGGCGCCGTGCGTCGGTACACCCCAAAGCCGATGTCGGCCCCGTCGCTGGTGAACTGCCACCTGTGGCGTGTAACTTACAGAAATATCTTGTATGCTGAGGTTTAATATAAAAGTAGTGCTTTGGTGGCATCTTGTGTTCCCTTGGTGCCAAGGAACTACAGGGGTAAACAAATAGGGAACATCTGGAAGTAATGAGCTGAACTCCCAAGGAAGGATTTAAATTCCCAGTAAATGCCACAAGATGGCAGCAAAGCACCACTTTGCGATTAGTCACGTACCTGAGCAGGCTGCAAGGGGCAGTGACGTGGTAGTCCAGCTGTAAGACGGCGCCGCGGCTGACGGTCACGCTGGTGTCGTACTGGACCTTAATCGAGTTCTGGATGTAGTACGACCGTGGCACAATGCCGCCGTAGTTGATCTGCAAGATTGTCATCATCGGCATCATCATCATATCGTCGTCGGCGTGACGCTCACCATTGTTCTGCAGCGAGGATCTCCGTCCGGGTCGGTCCGAGTTCCGCCGTACACCACCGGAAGCTGCTCGGCGTCCACGTGTTTACGAAGCACTTCCTGCCAGTCGCCTGCTCACACGGCAACAATTAGTGGCGCCCAGAGTTCAATGCAAACATGGTGAAGCAGCATTTCGCTGTGATGCTGCACGCAATGTGAATAAGCTGCCAAAAGAAGTGAAGTCAGTTCAGGTTGAAAACGACGCTTTTTTTCCCTCCCCAATATCGAATGATTGAGGTCTTTAAAGCTTTTTTAAAAATACGTTTTCAGAAACCTTTCTCTAGGACTCTTATGTTCTTTTAGTCATTTTATTTGGCTACTTCCTATTTCATTACTTTGTTTTTAAAAGCCTTTAGATCTTTTGTTGTCATGCACTCAAATTATATTAATTATTATTAGATATTGTAATTTGAAATTCATTTCATTTTAGCGTCGACTAGTCCTCCCTCAATCGTCTCCATTTGGTCGAAAAATGCTGTTGCTCACCTCCGAACTGGAGCTCCTGGAAAGGAGCATAAAACTGCAATTCCGGCTTCCTTTCCCCCAATGAGTTTGAGTGCCATAGAAAATTGTGGAATTTTAGCCCCCCACCAAATGTCTTACCTCCAAGAATGATGAGTTTGTGCCGCGTCTCCTCGGACAGGAAGTGCTTGATCAAAGTGTATGCCATCGGAAATAGTTTGGGAGCTGCAACCAAAAAGAGGGTTCATTGTGACACCATTCAACAAAGTGCTGGCCAGTATGGGAAATCTACCTTTGATGAGAAAGACTCTCTTGAGCCCCTCCGGATAGTTGTCCTCAAACATGGTGAGGATCTGTACAGGCCACACACACACGGGTGAGACACTGCGCAAACATAAAATTACTGCCAAGCCGGCGGACCACAAACCTCGCCGTATGTCTCGATGGCGGGCTTCCAGAGGTGCTTAAAGCCCAGACCCTCGCAGTCGTAGATCAGCGTGACTGACTCCACATTCACACCCAACTGAGAGCACGACAAAAACAAGAGAGAGAGAGAGAGAGAGAGAGAGAGAGAGAGAGAAAGAGAGAAATGATACATGCGGAAAATGAAAAAAAAAAGTCACAGGAGAGAAGCAAAGAAAGGAGACATGATTGCGGACCTTCTCCGACTGCTTTTGACATTCCCTCTGCAGCATTTCCATGTTCCTCATCTTGGTCCTCAGGAAATCCTGCTTGCTGGCCGACATCAGGAGCCCTTTGGGGTCCAGCGGACCCAACACGTCGTACCAGATGGGGTTGCCGTCCTTGTCGTGGCCGCACATGCCGCCCGACACGTAGCGCGTGATCACCTGCGGGGGCGCCATCAAAATGCAGGAGACGGTGATGCTGCTGATGTAATCGCAGTGGCGGCGCCGTCGCAAACCTCGGGTGGAGTCCAGTCAGAAATGATGGTGTCTGCCTTCATGTTTTTTCGGAATTCCACATGCTACACCCACATAAACACAGAGAAGTTATATTAAAAAAAATCAAAAATATCCAGGGCAAAAGGCAAAATGTATTATTCAACTGACCTTCCTGATCATCAATTCAGCTTTGGGGACACTGAAGCTTCTGGCTGGAATAAAGACAAAAAGAATATATCATAACAATGACAGAGACTTGTGAAAAAAAATAAAATAAAATAATGTCTGAAAGCAAAAATGAAAATAATAAAATTGATAAGGAAGTTATCGAGTACTAACAAAAACCAATATTGTATGAATGTAAATAAATACATAAATCTCAGGGAGGAAGAATCCAAAACTAATTATTGTGGGAAGTAAAAGAAAATCAATCCAAAGAAATCTTAGAGCGGCAACAATGACTAAAAGTCCAACTAAATGAAAAGGACGAGTTCAGAAAAGCGCTTCAGCTTTCCAGTGAAACTAGCGGCAGCCGCACAATGCTTTGTGTATCGTCTTCAGTTTCACTTCCATCGTGAAACACGTGCGGGACTCAACGCGCGCAACCACGTTTGGCTTCAACCGCGCGGACTTTCATCCTCCATTTTGTGGAAATATCGAACGAATAAGGATAATTCACGGAGTGGACGTGATGTCAAGTTCGGCAAACGTCCGCTTTATTTGCGCACGTTGTTTGCTCTTCAAGGGAGGGGTGGAGGGGGGGCAGGGCCTCAGACACCCTAACAGGGAAAACAGACTTGTGTGTTTAAAACTCGTGCCACGGTAAACATCCAGCTAGCGCAACGTCCCCCGAATACAAACACGAGTAGGACATGGCGGCCTGATTGATGCGTTCGCGATCGGTCGGTTTACGTTTTCTTCAAAAGGATTCATATCAGCACGCCCGCATCCATTTGACGTGTTGACTTGCTTCAGTTACCCGGAAAGTGGCGGTCGAGTTTAATCAAACAAGGCGTGATCATCTTTCTGATCTTAAATCCGTGCCCTTCTTATCTTATCAACTACTCAAAGTCCGAGCGCGTTAGCGTGTGTGTGTGTGTGTGTGTGTGTGTGTGTGTGTGCGCGCCCCTGTGACTGACCTCGCAGCCAGCGTAGCAGGTAGTGGTCGTGTTGGGCCGGAAGTTCAGGAAGGATGTCCCCGATTCGGTAACGAAACTGCAAGCACATCAAACAAAAGACTTGAAGGAAGGAACGAGAAATGAAAAAGATGACCCGAGGACGGAAACGATGATCTCAATTATTCCATTTATGAAGCGCTTTTACAACAGATTAAATTATAACACCATAAAAAAAATTTAAAAAAAAACTTGGGCAAAGTATCAAACAGCTGGTGAAAGTAACAAGGCATGTTTGACAAAAACAAGAAATGAAGTTTTTAAAAAAAATAAATGAAATCATCAAGGAAAGCATCGCCACATAAAACAAAGCACGATGGAAGCAAAAACAATTGACAGTCAAATAAAGGAACGAACATGACGGAATACGGGAGGAAACAAAACATTTGGGTGAGAGGAAAAATATCAGGAAAGTAACAAACAACTGAGCATAGGGGTAATAAGAAAACGTTGAGGGAAACAGAATTTTCTAGCCCCCCCCAAAAAAAAACGCAACTAAGAACTGATTCAAATAAATCAGGGTAGCCACAAAAAACACACAAAAGTAACAAATGGCGAGAAAAGGTGCGATAAGAACTTAAAAAAAGCAGCAAAAAAAAAATCAAGGGGAAAACAAAAACAGGAAAAGCTGGAAATGAACAAACAGACGATGACAAATAAATGACATGAATATTCAAATAAGCTGAACAGTCAAGAGTTTTGTCGGATCCAATTCCTGCTCAATTGCAATTTTCATCTTCGGGTTCAAAAGGAGGAAAGGTTCAGTTGGGAAAGTGGCCACAAATGAATACAAATTCACAACAAAAACCTTCATATGGGTTTCACCTGCGTGAGTGAATCCGCTTGTTTGGCGCTCAATTCTCCAACACGGCCACTCATGTTGCCAGCAAAACTTCCAGCGTGGGACTGAAGGATGAACGCTGGCGCGGAGGCCACAGACCTTGGGGGTGGGGTTGGGGGTGGGGGAGGGAACCAGGGACACGCCTTCCAGATACACGCACACACTTTCACAAGGACATCTGAAAAATCAAGCCCAGTGTTTCAGCTGTTCCAAAAGAAACCACAAACCTGACAAAACTTCAGCAACATGACATCTCATCCAAAAAAATAAAATAAAAAAAATCTCAATTCTGCTCGTGTTTTTTTCCATCTTCCATATTGAAAAACAAAACAAAAACGGATCATCTGTCTTATGCATATTTTATTCAACAAAAACTTCAAGATGAAAAGAAACTTTGGCCTCACTACGGTGCAGTAAGTGCGAGGGATCCCCCAGAGATCTGGTTCGGGTCCAAATCTGTTCAGTCGCGCGTCTCGGCGAGACTGGGGATGCTGGTGACGATGTGACCTTTGAACCCTTACAACTCTCACGATTTTAAAGCTGCTGTGTTGCTACATTCAGGATTACTCACGATCAATTAAACTGTCAGCACGGCAGGGGGCGAGATGTCCAAATGTGACAAAAATCCAATTTTGGTTTGTCTTCACCGCAAACTACTAAAACGTCAAAATTTATAATGGGTGTCTTTTCAAATCCACTTAAAATACAAAAGCAAAATCTGTAATAGAATTCATCCATTTTCCATAGCTTTTCCATTGCCTTTCCAATGTGACTTGCCGAGAGGCAAACTAGGGATTGGTCGCCAGCCAATCGCAGCGCACCCAGACATAAACAACCATTCACAAGCACACCTAAGGGCAAGTTCATATTTTTGGAATGCGAGAGGAAAATCCCGCGCAAGTGCTGAGGGAACGGATTCAAACCCAGAACGCCCTAAGTGTAAAGCAGACGTGCTAATTGTGCTAATTGCTAACAATTCACACCTTTGGTCTTCACCACAAATGAATACAATCTCCTGTCATTTAGCGATAAGGAACTTTGAAATCTGTGATTGGCTGGCGACCAGTCCAGAAGGCACCCTGCCTATCTCTCCAAAGTCAGCTGGGCTCGGCGTCCTCTCACAAGCATGCCAAAAAAAAAAAGACACGTGCAGGAGAAAATGGATTGATGTCCTCAAAATCGATGGAACCACAAACCAAGAGCGTTTCAATACTGTTAAATTGGGCTTCCTTGGATCAAAAGTAGTGCTTTGCTGCCATCTTGTGGCGCCTGTTGTGATAAGTCATCCCTGAATGTTCCACAAGACAGATCCTTGTTTCTTACTCTCAACCCCATTTTCTTAATTAAAAAAAAAAATCCGTTCACATATGAGAGCAAAAATCCGAAATTGACTGCCACAACCACAAAAAAAAGAAAAAAAAACTTATCGCCCTCAATGCCACAAGATGGCGGAAAAGCAAAGCTACGGCCTGACAAACTGAAACAGCGACACATAAGTCAATGTTTCTCATCACCAAGATACAACAAGATGGTGCCAAAGCACTACTTTTGTTCGACCAAAACACTGATTAGTTGAGTTTCTCAGCAACAAACAAAGGCCAGAAAAAAAAAATTTGCACGTCAACACTTTGTCGACTTGTTTGTTGCGTGGCGCCAACTTGTACACATTCCAAAACGTTAACGTGATCAAGTCGAGCTTGTGATTTTACATTTTTTTGGTCATTCTTGGACAAGCTGCTCTGCTGCTAAGCCGAGCCCTCAACGTAGTGTCCTCATATTTCAATTCAGAGCTATTAAGTCATTGGTCTTTGAGATGGAGACACACACACACACACACACACACACACACACACACACACACACACACACACACACACGCAAAAATGTCATCTGTCAATCAAATGTCATCCATCACATTCACATTTTTGAGTCTTTGCCATCCTCCAAGTTTGCTTTTGACACTTCGCCGACAGCAAAATTGAGTCAATGAGAGCAAAAACATCATCAAGGCGGGCGAGCACCATCCGTTCGGCTCCTCAAGCTTCCATTGGGCCAATCGCCGTGTAGTGTTTCGTGTTTACTTGCGGTTCCCTCGCCAGTCCGCCTGAAGGTTTTTCCGACTTCCCGTCGTCCTCTTCTGGCGCCGCCCGCTGTTTGTCTGAGATCCCGCCATACAGGCGTGCGTGTCTAGATGGCGTGCGTGATGTAGAAAAGCAGCTCCATCTCCACGGCGGCTGGCGGCAGCGCGGTGCCGCCCCCGTGGATGACAGGGATCAGGGCGCTGTCCAACTCGTTGGTGTAGCGCTGAGGGAGGAGGCGGCCGCCCCAACCGGCCTGGTACTCCACCTGCAACGCACGCCAAACACGCCGTCAGACACAGTGGACACGCACACAAAAACAGAATCATGCACACACACACACACACACACACACACGAGGATAATAAATAAATAAACGTGCGCTATCTACCATGTCATCGTGCGTGGACACGCGCAGGCTGAACGAGTTGATGGCGCTGGCGGCGAGGGCGGCGAGATGGCGCGTCAAAGCCCCGCAGGCGGCCACGGCGATCTCTTTCTGGAAGACGGCGCACGCCGGCAGCACCGATGCCAGGCTGCCCTCGGCGGACGTCACCCGGTAGAAGACCTGCGAGGACGCGGCCCGTCAACCTCAAGGGAACCCTTCGCCGGTTGGCCGCGCAAATAATCACGGGATGCCGTCACCTCCGAACACCTGATGACGCGCCCGTCGCTCTCAAACTCGGCCTCCTGCTGCATCCTCATGCTGCGCACGCCGTCCAGACTTCGCCCGTCGACGCCGCTCGTCATTCTGACCAAGTTGTCAATCATTAGGGCCCGACTGATTTTGTGAGGCCAATGCAAGTATTTGGCAAAATAAAATTCTGATAAGGCACAGGTGTCTAACGCAAGGCCCGGGGGCCAGATCTGGCCCGCCACTTCATTTGAGGTGGCCCGTGAAAGCAAATCAAACCTGCTGATTTCTGTGATGCTTGCTAAAATTTCGACCAAAATTTCAAATTCTCATACATAATGTAGAAAAGAGCTTTTGTCAGTTTTCTTGTGACCAAAACCCTCATTACAGTAACTTAAACTATAGTTGAATCAACCATTATTCTTGACTTCCTTATATGGTTTCACAGTCATAACGGCCCTCCAATGGAACCGGTAACTATAATGTGGCCCGCGACCAAAATGAGTTTGACACCCCTGCGATAAGGCATGAACTCACCAATGAATTTTTAAAAATTGTTCATGACTAAAATAATTTTTGAAACGAAAGAATTAAGAAAGATGAATTTCAGGCAGATTTTTTTTTCTTAAACGATAATTTTAGACTAGAAAAATTTTTACAAAAATCTGGTGTGTGGCCAGTCTTTGAGGTCTTTAAACTGGAAAATGTTGTTGAGTTGTGTTGTTACCCGGCGTTGACGGGGGAGGTCCAGTCAACCCAGCGCACGGTGACGTTTTCCCGGACCTCCGTCTCGTCTGTCTTCCCGCACGTGATGTTGAAGTCATTCTGCTCGCGCAGGGCCGTGCGCAAGGCGTCCATGGTCTCTGGAGGCATCTGCACCATGAGACCGTCTAAACGTGTGGGGAAAACGTCACAATTAATTCAGCTCACTCGCTACTGGGGACAGTTCTATTCAACTGCAATCCGACCGTTGACTGCCACCGAAGCGTATTTTCTTCAAGTGCAGTTTTCAACAAGAAGGCATGGACGAGGGGCTCACTCCACCTTGCCCGTTTTATATTGTGTGAACTACTGTAGTGATGAACAGATGAGCACAGCAATTAAGAAAGACATAAAAGAGTAGGCAAGGGAATCATGGCCGGTCATGTTTGTTATGACGGAGAAAAAAAATGCAAATACTTTTAAAGATGCATATTCCAACCCTCTATGTACATGTATGGTTTAAAAAAAAACTAATAATAATTTAATCATGATCACAATTTAGACAGCCATGATTAGAATGAGTTGATCGTTGTGTTTAAAATGTGGGCTCTGCATTAAAATAAGGTGAAGAATTTCGCAATACAGTACGTAGTAAGTCAGCCAACCACCAGGGGGCGACATGATGTTAAATCCTCATTAGGCTTGGCAAGTGGAAATAAATTTTGTTTTTTTTTTCCTAAAATGATGTTGCATCGTGTTTGTTAAAAAGTAGTGCACAAAAAAACACGGAACGACGAATAACTGAATAATCATGAAGTGATTGGCTGGCATTGATCAAAATTCTGTTGGTTCAAAAAAAAAAATACAGCAGGATAAACAATTTCATTTCATTGTTATTCTATCGTCAAAGGACTGTAAAGAGCAGCATTTAAGAAATGTTAAAGGGTGGTTCGTTGAATGTTGATGCAAGTTAAGTGAGCGAGGCGACGCGCACGCTCACCTTCCACGATGCTGGACTTGGCAATGAACCCCGACGAGGCTTTCAGGGCGCCGTTGAAGACCACAAAGCTGGCCCCCGTCACTGCAACAAGCAACAAGAGGTTTCTATGACGCCACCTGGCTTCGCACCGGCGGTCCCGCCTCGCACAAAGACGGAAGAGCACTGATGATGTCCACCTGTGCGCGTCTTGCCGGGCATGCTGCTGGCTTGCGTCTGGTAGCTGCCGTCCTCGTTCTGGAAGCATACCAGGTGGGAGTCTGCCTGCAGACTCAAGCCGGCGCCGATGCTGATGACGTGCTCGTTGGCGCCGCTCACCACCCTCTGCATCTGGAAAACGACAACTTTTCACATTCGAAGCCATGTAGTTTCTTCTTCGGTGGTCAAAATTGTTTTTTTTTTCCACAAAAATCTTTGAACCCGACAGGAATTGTCCATCTTGCGCCTCTCACCTCACTGAAGCTGCTTTTGGGGATGTCGATATAGCTGTGGCCCATCTCCATGTGGATCCTCAGACCCTCTACGGACGCCAGGCTGTACTGGTAGTTCCTGAGGTCCTGCGTTCAAACGGGAGAGGCTTGTGACGTTGATAAAGGCCCCCCCGCAACAACTTGCATTCGCGTTTGTGTTTGAGGACTCACAGCCAGTAGGTTCATGATGGTGTGTCCCGTCTCCCGATACACCGATTCCCTAAAACGCACACTCACGGGCGTGGTGGGGTACACTGCAAAGGCGCACAGAGGTCCAAGCACTGAATCACAATTAGCTCATGACAATGACATGAGTCACTTATTATTCTTATAATATTAAAAAACAAAAAAATACATTCGGACGTGTGCATTTCAGTACCAGCCAATTCTGGACCAAGTCTGAAAAGACGTTTAAAAACGTCTTTGGGTGTGAATGAGTTAAATGACGTGACATCACATCCACACACCGTTGTACTCGGACCCGAGTCGTAGGAGCAGCCTGAGGGGGAACACCTTGGCCCAGGGGACCTCTAGCTTTTGGATGAGAAGGCCGAAGAGGAAAGGTTGCGAGGGGAGAGTGAGGCCCTCCAGCGGCTGACAGGTGGGAGAGAAGAAGAGCATCCCGCCATGATCTTTGCTGCCCAGGAAGCTGCTGGTGAAGGTCACGTTGTCCAGGTCGTCCACAAACTTGCCTGCGAGAGCGACGACGTGAGCGGGTGCGGTCAAACGTGCGCCGGCCCGGGTCCGGCGAGTGTCACCTGCCTCTTTGGGCGTCCTGCTGGATGCTGAGGCACAGCGTGAAAAGGTCTCTGGGGAGAGTTCGGTCTTCTGGGACGCACTCCAGGAGGAAGACCAGCTCTCTCTGGCCCAGAGCCTGCAGCCCGTTGGAGCCAAAGCACCAGCATTGACGCCCGCCGTCTGACCCCAAACAACCGTCCAGAGTCACGAGATGCCATCGGTGATCATTCGCCGCAAGTTGTCAAAAGCATTGCCGCCGACATAAGTCATATATTCTGCGAGCCCATTAACTCATTCGGTACCAGCCAATTCTGGACCAAGTCTGAAAAGACGTTTAAAAACGTCTTTGGGAGTGAATGAATTCAGACTTAAAATAATCGTACCTTGAAATGAAACCTAAAATGGACAGAAAGCCAATGGCTGAAGACCAACTGGAGACATTTATGGGAAGGCTGGCTGACTCCAAAACAAAGCTGACAACTTTCAGACAATTTAGTCATAAACATCCCTCTGAGAGAAACTATTATGTGGCAGAAAGGGGGGGGGGGGATAAGGCCCTTTACTCACATGTGACCATCTTGACATTCACCAGCAGGTTGGCATTGAGGACAAAGGTCAAAGGACGAGGACCCCCTTCTTCCAAGAGGTGTTGAATTTGGCAAGGGGCGGGGCTTTCCTCCACCAACATGTCTGCAAAACAAACGCAGCAGACACACCCAAAATTAAAAAAAAAACCAAATTCTCACAAGAGAGAGACAACTAGACAGAAGTGACTAAGAGTCAAAGATTGAAAAAAAAAAAAACAAGAGGGACAGACAGGAAGACAGAGAGAGACAGACAGTGGGATGAACAGATGAAGGGACAGAGAGACTGGCAGGCAGAAAGACAGACGGACCCGCTGCTGTGTCCTCTCCGGTGATGATGAGGAGAGGCGGAAGTTGGTCTTCAGAGTCGGGCAGCAGACTGGAGGCCTTCGTCACTGCAGAACCCAAACCCGCCAGCAGGGCGTAGTGCCAGGGGCCACACGGGGGCAACGGGACCCCCTCCGGAACCTCGGGACTCAAGCGGCCGCCGCTTTCGCCATCCAAACCCGCAGAGCTCGGCTGATAAAACACAGGAGGGACTTGTCGGATCATCGCCGGCGCGCCCCTTGCCGAATTTTCTTCTTCAAGCGTACCGTCATTTCCTCCGGCGCGCCGGCGAACTCCTGCGAGGTCCGCGAGCCGGGCAGTGACAGCTTACTGGTGTCGGCCATTTCTCCGTTGGGCAGGATGCCGTCGGCGAACCAAACCCGTTTGTGCTCGCGGGGGCAACCTGCAACGGTGACACAAAAAAAAAAAAAAGGGGAGTGGTTGGATGACGTGAGGACTCAAGATGGCCGAGCGGAGGAAGTGGCGTCGTCGCACCATCGTTGCTCGGGTGTTTGAGCGCCGACACGGGGACCATGACGGTAGGTGGCGGCGAGTTGAGGGTGCCGGCGGCCCGGGCCTGCTGCAGGGGCGGGATGGTGCTGCAGTACTCGGATGGCACGTTGGGGTTGGGACTAGAACCCATGGGGCTCATCATCCGTTCCAGGGCCTGGGCTGCACGGACCAACCACAACCGAGACACGGGTAAGGCGGATATCGAAAAACGAATTCATCTCTTATCAGGACTTAGTGAGATTTCTCAAAATGTTGAAGAGAAATCAACCCGGCTGATCATCGGTCTATGCCTAGTTTTGTGATTATATGCAGTTTGGCGGAACAATTTGGTGTAGAAACTAAAGCCGGTCAAATTAATTGGCCAATATAGGCCTTTAAAAAAAATACGACAATTTCTTTTTTCCACATTTTGGGGGAAAAAAAACGACAGAGAATAAAAGGGGGAATTATGACAAAAGCTGAGTTATGTACAAGAGGTGTTGGGTGATTTTAAATTTAGGATTATTGGGCGATTTAACGATAAATAAAACATTTACCCTGGAATAATAATGAATGTTTCTTTTTAATTTCAACACGAGGCCACAAATGACTACCTGGCCATATTGGTTGTGTTTGCTTTTGGGAAGTGAACATTTCTTAGCAAGTCCGTTTTGTGGTGATTTAAACCACAAGTGTGACATTTGCACTTGACTTTCATTCAAGCAATGACATCACACACATTCAACTTGATTTCAACTTGAAGAGGAACTGAAATTCAACTTGAAGACGAAACTGACAGAAACAACACACACACACGAACACGCACACAAGCACGGTTTCCCGACGTTGATTTAACCGACGTGAACTCGCCTTATACCGATTTAAAACACCAGCGGGTGAGGGCAGTTTGTCGCTCACACAACATCAATGCAGGACCGCAACTATAAAGATGCCAACACCCTCCACGGGGGGGGACACAATGTCAAAGGCACGCTTTAAGTCTTCTCATGAAACAAGAAGTCAAAGTTGCGTTCGTGCGGAGCAGCATGCGTCTCACCTTGCCACGCTCGTCCACCTTCGAGACACTCCGGTGATACGCTTCAGTCTTTACAGCACGAGCATGCTAACCTTCGGGCTAGGGTTCGTGTGTGCATGGATATGTGCGTGCGTTTGTGTGTGTGTGTGTGTGTGTGTGTGTGTGTGTGTGTGTGTGTGTATGGATGTAGCTTGTGCTTGTCTGCGCACAGCTAGCATATTAGGGAGCAGAGGGACGGGAGGGAGGAAAGGGGGTGGGAGGGGTGGATGGCGTCACTTCACTCTAGACTGTGGGGCTGCAGAAGAGTAGATTGCCTCCTGTTTTTGTTTTTTTTTTTAAATTCCTAATTTAGGCTGCAAGCGTCACACACAGAGGCGGGCCTCCCAAACACACACGCACACACCGACAAAG